ATAACAATCAGCCCTCTTGCACGGATTAAAGTCGCTATGCGGGGGTCCACTGTATACTACTCAGACCTTCAAGACCAGGACCCACACGTTACTGAATTCACAAACACAATGAGTAACTGCATGTTGCTACCAATAGTAACAAAACCTACAAGTTACAGAGACTAGTGTTTCCCTACTTGACCACATCTGGACCAACACCATATCCCCTTTAAAATCAGGCATAATTACAGATAATACCACAGACCACTACCCTACTTTCCTCATAACAACTCTTGGTAAAATACCCCAAGACACTACTAAAGTCACCTTCAGACTTCACAATGAGGCAGCCATTAATAACTTCACAACAGCAGTAACAAACATTGACTGGCACACTGAGCTAGAAATCTATACAGATATTGACGAATGTTTTAATAATTTTCTATAAAAGACCCAATACCTCTATAACAAGCACTGCCCTAAAAAAACTAAACAGATGACAGCTAAGAGACTGAACAGTCCCTGGCTAACACCCAGCATTCTCAAATCCATAAATACAAAACACCGATATGAAAAACAGTAAAGAATGGGTCACATAACCAGAGACCAAACAAAACGTTACTCGTCAATCCTAACCAGCCTGATAAGAAGGGCAAAAAAACTGTATTATGAGAACAGATTATCCAACTTACGAGGTGATATAAAAAAGACCTGGAAGACCCTATCAGAAATTCTGGGAACAAAAAAGATATCACGAAATAGCGAAATAAAATTAGCAAAATCAGATGAACCCCAACTCCCACCAACAGAAACAGCAAACAGACTCAATGATTTCTTCTCCACTATAGGACAAAACCTTGCCAATAAAATCATAAGCTCAGATACCCCACCAAATGACTACCTTACTGGCAACTACCCGAACACTCTGTTCCTAGCTCCGACTAACCCATACGAAGTCTCCCTTATTATCAACGCACTAAAAAACAGGGCAGGAGATTTAAATACCTTACCACCCTTTATATACAAAAAAGTGTCACAAGTACTATCACCAATCATTGCAACACTCTTTAACAAATCCATTGAATCCTCCACCTTCCCTACAGCTCTCAAAATAGCAAGGGTCACCCCGATCCATAAAGGAGGAGACCAAACAGAGTTGAATAACTATAGGCCAATATCCAATTTACACCTTCTCTCAAAAATCTTCGAAAAATTAATTCATAAACGAATCTACTCCTACCTCATCTACCAAAACATTCTCAACCCCTGCCAATTTGGATTCAGGCCTAATAAAAATACTAATGATGCTATTATACACATGCTAGAACATATATACACTGCAATAGAGAAAAAAGAAGTCCCACTGGGGATCTTCATTGACTTACGTAAAGCTTTTGATACAGTTGACCATGACTTGCTCCACGTAAAATTGTCACACTATGGTATTAGAGGGCACTCCCTCAACTACCTCAAGTCATACCTCAGCAACAGAAGCCAATATGTGTACGCAAATGGGGCAAGCTCTTCCGCTCAACCAATTACAGTTGGTGTCCCACAGGGAAGTGTCCTTGGCCCTCTTCTCTTTCTCCTATACATAAATGACCTACCAAATGCTTCGCAATTACTCAAACCCACACTTTTTGCAGATGACACTACATATGTCTTCTCTCACCCGAGCCCAGTCACGCTAGCCAATACTGTAAACACCGAATTACAGAAAATATCTACCTGGATGAGGACTAACAAACTTACACTAAACATTGACAAAACCTACTTCATTCAGTTTGGTAACAGAGCTACAGATGTACCTCTTAACATAACGATAAACAGATCACCTATCACAAAGCTAACAGAGGGAAAATTCTTAAGAATCCACCTTGATAATAGACTCAAATTTCATACACATATACAACAAATGTCTAAGAAAATTTCCAAGACTGTAGGCATACTATCGAAGATACGGTACTATGTTCCACAGTCAGCCCTCTTGGCCCTTTATCACTCTCTTATTTACCCCTATCTCACCTATGGAATTTGTGCATGGGGCTCAACAACAATTAATCATCTCAGACCATTAATTACCCAACAAAAGGCTGCAGTTAGAATGATAACAAATTCTCACTACAGGCAGCACACTCCACCAATATTCAAAACACTCAACCTACTCACCATACAAAACATCCATACTTATTACTGCACCTATTACATACATAGAACACTTAACTCTGATATTAACCCTCCCCTCAAACATCTCCTTGCCAACCTCAACAGAACACATGACCATAACACAAGGCACAGATCACTCTTTGATGTTCCTCGTGTCCATCTCACGCTATGCAAAAACTCAATGCACATAAAAGGCCCTAAAATCTGGAATTCATTACCTGTAAATATAAAAGAAACACTACCTGTTTATAAATTCAAGTCTCTTCTCAAAGATCACTTACTCACTCAAAACCAAATAAATACTGAATAACTGAACATTATAAATTGTATATCCAATGTTACTCACAATTATATCACACAAATGTTAAACCTAGGACCCAATCTAACTTTATTTTTTTAAATACACTACCTAACAGAATACTCCATTTGACTGAATGTACAGCAATGCATGCAACCATATGACCTGTCTTTGTAATACTCATTTGTGCTTTATAGTTATCTGTTTACAATAATGTTTTATCACTGATTTCATCATTGCTTAGTTAATCTTAAGTTAATTTTAAGCCAGCCCGTAATGCTATGCATATAAGTGGCTTTGGCATGCTGCTCTTACCTGTATTTTTTTTGTACCTCTGTATGTATGCTAAAATTACTAAATAAATAAATAAATAAATAAATAAATGCTATGTATTAATTTAGTCATTCTACGCTGAATGTTTGCTAACGAATTTATGTCCATTCTGTAATATGGAGACCAGAACTGAGCTGCATAATCTAGGTGAGGCCTTACTAATGATGTATAAAGCTGCAGTATAACCCCTGGACTTCTGTATAAAGCACTAAAAACACTGGAATAACACAAAATATATTGCAGGTACACATTGAATCGACCGCAATAGCTTGTAAACACTGGCACACTGAGTCTTGGAGTGGCTGGGCCCGCTCAGGCAGCGCTCCGGCCGCATGGACACGTTAGAGACGAAAGCCATTAGATGAGTTTTCGCTGTTGGTAGAGCCATTTTTTTTATGCCAAAGAGTGCCGTTAGATGAATTTGCCATTATTTCTGAAAGACGTGGAGGCCTGAAATAAGTTGTTTGGCTTTTTGGGGGCTCCCAGGATCGTAACCCTATTTTTCCCATAAGTTCTTCAGTTCATCTCACACGATTTTTACCTAACATGGCATTTTCAGGAACGTAACTACCGTGCTAAATGACGGTCTACTGTATTGTAGGGAAATATAATACAATACTGCTTCCTTAACCTACTGAACTATGAACAATCATACAACACATGAAAACATCATAAAATATTGTACTAGTGCCAGCCTTTTGTTAAAGGTGAGAAAAACTACAGAATTCAAAAAAGAACTTGTAGCAGAGTACTAAAGTGGAGGAGAAAGAGAGAGGGGAGAATGTGCCTTCTTCAGTGATTCTATGATATGTACAATACTAAAGCAGCACAAGTCGATAAAGGCTATTGTGCCAGCCAGTGATAAAGTGTAGTAAGTTAAGCGATTAATTGACAGAAATAGGACAGCACGAACCTAACTCCTCCAATGTTGTTGGAGTTATATAGGGCTAATGACAACACCGCCACCTCTACCGCCTCTGCTACCACCTTCACCACCACTATGTAAGACTTATGCTCTCAGTAGCCCTTATACACCCAACAACTACAACACAGCAACACTAGTGACATACTTCATGACATATTTTATTCATTCTAGAGTATACAGCGTATTTTTTTTTTTTTTTTTCAACAAGTTGGCCTTCTCCCACCGAGGCAGGGTGACCCAAAACAGAAAGAAAATCCCCAAAAAGAAAATACTTTCATCATTCAACACTTTCACCTCACTCACACATAATCACTGTTTTTGCAGAGGTGCTCAGAACACAACAGTTTAGAAGCATATACGTATAAAGATACACAACATATCCCTCCAAACTGCTAATATCTCTATGTTATTAATATTGTTTATTACCTCATATTAGATGAATTGTGATACATAAATAAGCCACAGAGTTGATATTAGTGTCATATTGCAGGACTATCTTGTCCTATCTCCTAACAAACTGCCACTGCCATAATTCCTAACATACTTAATGACATATTTTATTCATTCTAGAGTATTTATGTTTCTATGTCATTAATATTGTTTATTATATTATATTAGATGAATTGTGATAGATAAACAAAATGTAGAGTTGATATTAGTGTCATATTGAAGGACTATCTTGTCCTATCTCCAAACTAACTTTGCCACCGCCACAATTCCTAACATATGTAATGACATAATTTAAATATGATTGGGTGGCTGGGAATTCGCGAATGTTCGAAGCCCGCAAATGTTGAGGAAGATCTGTATTATGTGACTGAACCAGGTGTACAAATTCATCTGTCAGTATGAACATGTGTGTTTGTGACAGTATGATTACTAATTCAGTACCAAACATCTGTGTTTCAACAACAATTGGCTTTGAAATCAAAAGATCTGCAACGAAACATAATTATCATAACATAAAAACTACAAAAATTAGAAAAGAGCTGAAAAAAAAAAACGATAAATCTTTAACATTTCTGCAAGCGGCAGCGCTCCTTGTTGCCATCACCTGAGCATTCAGCGCCAACTTCGTAGACTTATATCTCGGTAAGTACTGACCCTAAAAATTTTTTTTGATCTGATAAGGTGTCAAATAATGCTTTCTTCATTAAAGAAAAAAAAATTCAAAATATTCGGAGCACTGGGCGAGAAAACATAGATTTACATTTGGGCAGTTTAAGAGTTAATATGCCACATTAAAAACTTCTGGGGCAGTATCCCTCTCTGCTTAAAAAGAAAAACAACTCAACATACCTGATACAAGTGGCAGTGTGTGGTGACATGGTGAAGAAGAAGGGTAACAGCTTCAAAGCTTTGATCTTCAGCTGCAGTTCAACTTTGGCATCAGAGACAAGTTCTTTATAGAAAACTACAATATTGTGTCCTGGGTCTGAGCAATGCTTCCTGAGTGTATCTCCCTGGTCAACCAAAAATAATGAAGACAACAATCCAAGCACAGATTCTTGATGCATGCTGCTTTTACTGGATTCAGCAGAAAACGTTGGCCAGTGGTACAGGAATGCTTGAATTACATGCAGTGAATGTCTGCAAAGAAGTTATGATTAATGTACAAAAGGAAGTTTGTAATGGTTTCAGTCAAGAACATTTAAATTACAAGATAATTAATTAAGGTACATCTTGCTACCTAGGTAGTAGGTTGGTAAACAGCAACCACCCAGGGAGGTACTACCGTCCTGCCAAGTGAGTGTACAACGAAAACCTGTAATTGTTTTACATGATGGTAGGATTGCTGGTGTCTTTTGTCTGTCTCATAAACATGCAAGATTTCAGGTATGTCTTGCTACTTCTATTTTCACTTAGGTCACACTACACATACATGTTCAAGCATATATATATATATACACACCCCTCTGGGTATTTTTCTATTTTCTTTTTAGTTCTTGTTCTTGTTTATTTCCTCTAATTTCCATGGAGAAGTGGAACAGAATTCTTCCTCCGTAAGCCATGCGTGTTGTAAGAGGCGACTAAAATGCCGAGAGCAAGGGGCTAGTAGCCCCTTCTCCCGTATAAATTACTAAATTTAAAAGAGAAACTTTCGTTTTTCTTTTTGGGCCACCCTGCCTTGGTGGGATACGGCCGGTGTGTTGAAAGAAAGAACATCTTGCTACATTTACCCCTGGCATCCCAAATTTACCTACTACTCCCTCCACAACATTTTTACCCACTTTAGCATTGAAATCCCCAACCACAAGTACTCTCAGACTTGGTTCAAAACTCCTCACACACTCACTCAACATTTCCAAAAAAACCACTCTCTCTCCTCTACACTTCTCTCTTCTCCAGGTACATATATGCTTGCTTTTCACATCCAACCTTAATTATTTTACTCCACATAATCCTTGAATTAATACATTTATACTCCCTCTTTTCCTGCCATAGCTTATCCTTCAACATTATTGCTACTCCTTCTTTAGCTCTAAATCTATTTGAAACCCCTGACCTAATCCCATTTGCTTCTCTCCACTGAAACTCTCCCACCCCCTTCAGGTTTGTTTTACTTAAAGCCAGGACATCCAGCTTCTTCTCATTCATATCAGCCACAATCATCTCTTTCTTATCATTCGCATAACATCCACACACATTCAGACATCCTATTTTGACAATTTTCTTCTTTTTAGTAATCTGTACAGGAAAAGGGATTACTAGCGCATTGTTCCCAGCCCTTTAGTTGACTTTTACAACACTCATGGCTTACAGAGGAAAGATTCTTATTCCACTTCCCCACGAATATAAAAGGAAAAGTAATAAGAACAAGGCCTATTAAGATAAAATCAAAGAAAATTTAGAGGAGGGTGTATAAATAAACGTGTACATGTATGTGTAGTGTTACCTAAGTGTAAGTAGTAGTAGCAAGACGTACCTGTAATTTTGCATATTCATGAGAGAGACAATAGACACCAGCAATCCTACCATCATGTAAAACAATTACAGGTTCTCGTTTTACACACACCTGGGTGGTTGCTGTCTACCAACCTACTACCTATAGTAATAAAAGACTCCGCTAGGAGTTGAACCCGAGGCTGGTGATGTAGAGGATGTCTTGCTGACCGCTGCACGAATATATGTACATGTGTATATATATTATAGAGCAATAGTAATAAATAACTTTTTTTTATTGTTGGTTTGTGTAAACAGGTTTTGTAAACACTGTAATGATAATAATATTTGTGCGGTTATTGTGTTGCATACGAGTGAATATACATATATTATGCCCTATATTGGTCTCAAAGGCCACAAAAGTTACTTGAAAAAATAAAATATAAAAAAAATATAAGAAAAAGTACAATAAAAGTAAAATAACAATACCAAGTGAGCGGTAGTTGCCGATGTTGCCCTAAGCAGTTCACTTTCTGTCAACTTCATGCCTCTACCTTGGTAAGTAATGATTGCAATTTTTTTGTTTTAAAACGCTTGCAAAAATAAGATTTTTTTTTTTTTTTTTTTTTAATATTTTTTGACACAGCGAGAGTTTAGAATCAGAGGTCCCGACAGTGAAAGGGTTAATGGAGAAACTTGATTTTATTCAACAAGATAATTTATACTTGAACTGCCTATATGAGTAAAATCTCTCATTAATGGACTAATAGGGAAAGGGGGTGTACAATAATGTCAAAATATCCATTGACTACTGAAATATGGAAAGGGGGGTGGGTTTATAAAGGAGGTTTTGTGTGCGAGGGGCTTGGACTTCCAGTGGCTTGGTGGCTGAAGCCCTTGCTTCACACGGTGAGGGGCCCAGATTCAATTCCCGGTGGTTATTCGGCTTGGGCAGCACCGGCATCCTAGTAACTCTTATTCTTCAAGAAACCATCGCTCATCAAAGCCTGTGATGGCCTAATTGAAGGTACAACTTCATGAACCCACGTAGACCACAAAATGACCCAAGAATACTAAGAATGTAACCCAATTCTTGACAAAATAGAAGATCTAAAGAAGACAGCCCTGTTAACCCAAACACTGCCTCTGCTGCCAGACAATCACTAAACCCAAGCTCAGGGAAATCAAGCCTTCTCTGCCATAGCTTCACAGTATCTACTTTAGTGATACTATGAAAGGATATCGCATAAGAAACAGCAGCAGTAAGAAAAGAATAACACCAAGGACCCTAGAACTCAACTTGTCTACCCAGCAGGATGCCGGTGTATCATCAACCCCCCTCAACACCACCACCCAGAGAACAACAACAAACATGGCTGACTCCCCCTCCAACTCCACTCCCTTCAAAGGATTCACCCATGATAACTCAGGTATGATTATTCCTGACAATATCAGGGACTACATCGTTGCTCTAGAAAACAAAATCTAAGATATTAAAGCAACATTTGCGTGACGAGAATCCAAGATAACCAACCTCGAGAACAAGATCCAAAACCTTGAAGAGAAGATTACCTCGGGAAGTGCTGGCACAGAAAATACTCTGAAAACAGCAATAGCCAGTCACACTGAGCAAATAACAAATCTATATATGAAGGTCGAAGAAGCAATCAAGGACTGGAATCAGAACATGCACACTCGACTGAATACCTTGATTTCCAAGACAACAAAACTGAACAAGATAAGTTGTCTGATGCAGTTATAATAAACAGTCCACACATTCCTAGTGACGTAACCCAAAAACAATGCAAAGAAACTGCTATCAGGATAATACAGGACCATGTACAAGTTATCGTGCAAAACAATGAAATCAAAGAAACACGTTTGTTAGGAAAACAAGGTAGTAAACACAGTATCATGATCAGACTTCATTCATATGATAAAAGAAAGGGCTTAATTAAATCGGCAATTACAATGAAAAATGGAGTGTACATCAACGAGTGTCTAACGAGAAAATGTCAAAACCTTCTGTTCAGGTTGAGAAAACTTAAACAGGAAAACAAAATTCATCAGTGTTTCACTCGAGATGGGAAAATACTAATTAGAAAAACTTCAACAGGACAACAATACACCATCTCAAATGAACATGATTTCTCTACCTTCCTTAGAAAAGCTGACATTTCCGTAACAGATTAGATAAGTGTCCTTAACACATATATACGTGTGGTGCATAGAGTGTACGTTACTATTATATTATAAAAACATAAGAACATAAGAAAGAAGAAACACTGCAACAGGCCTACTGACCCATGCAGAGCAGGTCCATGTCCCCCCCCCCAGATTATCCCAATGACCCCATCCAGTCTGATCATCTCCACTCAAGGATGGAGCACTGCACCAGACCCAGCATTATTATTTTTTTTCTTTTACTAGCTAATACTGTACCAGCTACCACAAATACTTTTTACTTTTTAATTGCTTTTAACTGCTCATAATTTTGTGTTGCAAGTCAAATCTTACTCCAAATTAATGTTATTCATGGTTACTACCTGTCCATTTAATTCAGATTATCACTACTTTTTTAATCCCCTTTATATTGTGTGAGCAATTAGTGTATATTTCAATTACATTATTGTGCGAGTCCCAAAACTATCTTTTGCTAGCTAGTACCAGCTACCTCATATTTCTCTACTTTTTATAGTGTAGTTAATTGCTCAACTTATTATACATTACAACTCAGATATTACTCCCAAATCAATATTATATCATAGTGACTATCTGTCCATTGAACTTTGTTCACCATTACTTAATTTAGTCCCTTATATATTTTCTCCTTTATTTTAGCTTTACATAACTACCTTAGTTCATATATCCACAATTGTTAAAATAATCAAAGTGCTATTCTCATGGGCTAAAGTGTAATAAGTTCACTATTTTGCCAGTAAAATACTCCAGGTGCTATTGACTACCTCAGGTGCTACTAATTTTACTTTTAATACATTCTTTTACTATTATACCCATTAGCTCCTTTATTTTAACTGTAAATATCTACTGTAGTTCATAAACTCACTTGTTAAAATAATTAAGGTGCTATTAGATACTTAACCCTTTCAGGGTCCATGCCGTAGATTTACAGCTTTACATTCAGGGTCCAAACTGTAGATCTACACCAAAATTATAGCGGCGTCAAATTTAGCTCGAGAAACACTACCTGTTTATAAATTCAAGTCTCTTCTCAAAGATCACTTACTCACCCAAAACCAAATAAATACTGAATAAGTGAACCTTATAAATTGTATATCTTAAATGTTTCTCACAATTATATCACATAAATGTTAAACCTAAAACCCAATCTAACTTTATTATTTTTTAAATACACTACCTAACAGAATACTCCATATGACTGAATGTACAACAATGCATTCAACCATATGACCTGTCTTTGTAATACTCACTTGTGCTTTATAGTAATCTGTTTACATTAATGTTTTATCACTGATTTCATCATTGCTTAGTTAATCTTAAGTTAATTTTAAGCCAGTCCGTAATGCTATGCATAGTATAAGTGGCTTTGGCATACTGCTCTTATCTGTATTTTTTTGTACCTCTGTATGTGTGCTCAAATTGTTAATAAATAAATAAATAAAAAAGGCTGGTAGGCCTACATCTGAGAGAATGGGTCTGGGTGGTCAGTGTGCACACCATAGAAA